AGAGACAGCACACACACACACACACACACACACACCCACACACACACACACACACACACACACACGAGCGCGCAGACTCCATCAGTCAAATGCATCCTGGGCAGACTGTCAGGGTTCAACTCCTGCTGAGTCGGTGAAAGTCCGACCAAACAGTCTGGGACAGTCAAGCTTTTTTCTGTGGAGTTTGCATGGCGAACATGACATCACACACACATATGCGTGCGCGCGCCAGCACATTGTCCGATGAAGTTGGATATGATCTGGATGGGAGCGATTGATTCAAACCAGATTTCACTCGTTGTAGCTAAATCGCATAAGCACACAACCCATCGAGCGGCAAACAGACTCTTCAATGGCATTGGCGAGACGATGGGTGAAGAAGCTCCCCGAATTTAACCCCTTCTGTCCTCGGCCTGTCCACCGACAGTCAGCCGATGCACCATGCGTGCGTGGTTCTTACATGGCAGACAGGTGTTTTCTCCGCGCTGACCATCCACTAGACACTGCGTGCGTGCGTCCCTCTGAAGATGGTCAATTACTTAATAAGCACGCACGCCCACACACATCAAAGGATAAGCATAGTTAGGGGGACACATGCACTCCCGCTCTTCCAATTCACATTTTAGTATTTTACTCTTCCTCCCCCTTCTGTTTTCCCTCCCCTCCCCTCCGCATGAAATTCCCATCTTTCATTCCCCGCCCTGCACGCCCCTTTCCCCCCACCTTCTCCCCTTCGTGCGAACACGCACAACAGCTAACCCCCTCCGTTCCTCCGATCCTCCCGCTTGTGGAAAGAAGGCTGCACCCACATACCGAGCAGTTGCGCCCCGTGAACAGAGCCGTGCAGAGGCATTTCCGTCCTTGACAAACTCCATGCCACCCACAAGAATTAGCACAGTCCCTCGATCTGCCTGCCATCCTGCGCCTGCCCCTACGGGTTGCTGAGGCGGCCAGTGACGCTCCCTGAGCAACGGGGAGACCGGCGGTGACCCCCTGACCATTGTCGTCGCCACCATCGCTGCCCAAGTTCTCTGAGGTCTTCAACGGCCCCGGCAGCGCCTCTCCGCCCACCGGTATCTCATCACTCCCTCCCGTCGGGAGCTGGTCTACCTTAGTCCCTGACTCTTCGCCTTCTGGCAAGCCATCTGCACTTCCGTCTTTCGCTACATCCGTAGCGTCATTGCGTTTGCCATCCGCAGGCTCTCCCAGCGACATACCAGCTCGCTCCTGTGACTCGGTCAACTCGTTGCCTGTGTTTCCCTGCTCCCCTTCGCTCAGGTTCCCGCTACCGCCGTGGAACAACCGCTCCATGACGGCGGTCGCCATGACCGGATCCTCGGTCAGTCCTTCCTCACTGCTACCCATGGGGAGGAGGACGTGGCGCTCGCTCAGAGCAAGAGGTTGCAACCCGCTGTCAGCTTCAGAAGCTCCTCCATCAGGCGCGGTCATCGTCGTGAATGCATTTGGAAGCCACCAATGACTGAGGTCCACGGTTGTCGATTGCGACCGCACTGTTGACCAGAAGCTGGAGCGCCATGGGGAGCTTTGTGCCAGAGCTTGCATTATACGACCCTGAAACAGTCCGCACACAACGACCACATTGACGAAGGACAGGGCGAAGACGTACCTAAGTTTCATGATCGTCCTGTTTCCTTAAGCCAACACCCATCCGCCTGGGAGAAGTGACATAGTACTCACTTGAGGAACCTCGCCCACGTATTGGACGTAACTGACGGCCAGCCGCTCATGGCTTTTGCCAATGCATGTGCGACAAGTGACAGCCGGGTTCACATGAAGATATCCTTGTCTGAAGGTCCAGCCACGCCGAGAGAGCGCTCAGTGTCTCCGCCGATGCACCTGGATGAAACACTACTTCCGTGGTAGGGTTGACAGCAACAATGACGAAGGAACAGATCACTCCGCAAAAATACCTTCGGGGTAGCTCAGTTGGTACACCCATGAACTGTCCAAATGGAAACCTGAGTTCGACGATGATATCTCCAGGCCGTCGCCCTTCAGTTTCAGAGAACAAGACAAACCTTCGGGGTCGATTCACCCCCAAAATAAGGGTCTGGCTCAATTAATTGCCAGTAATTGCCTTATTGGCTCAATTACTTGCCTTATTGACTTACCGTGAGGGCACGCGTGCGCAGCCCGTAGTTTATATTGTCTACAGCGTGGGCGTGGGGAAAGCAGCCCTAAGGTAGCCAAATCAATTAGACTAAGAGCTCGCAAAAGAGAGAGAGAGAGAGAGAGAGAGAGGCTGAATGGCAAAATTGAAATATGAGTCAAATTGCGGACGCAATCTATTTCGCAGTTGGAATGATTTTTTTAAATTTATTTAGCATTTTTCTTGGAAAGAACACAACAAAATCTACGAGGATTCCAATTTTCAGGTTTTTTCACGCATTCTTCTGAGAGTGAAAACTCACTGAATTCGGAGTAGTTTTTAAGTTGGCCCACACATGGCTGAGTGGCAAAAGTGGAAAATGTGATTATTTCTCGGTCTAAGTGATTTTAAAAAAATGTTCTAATATTTTTCCTAGAAAGAACACGACCTCATATATGGATTCTCAAAATTTCAGATTTTTCTGCAGGTTCCTCCGAGCACAGAAAATCGCCAAAGCTGCCTCTTGCAAAACGCCTGTTTCGTTGCGCCTGACCTCCCTGTTTTGAGAAGACGAGCCTCAACGCCTGGGCCTGAGGGCCCTTACCCCACCCCTATTTCTTTTTGGGGTCCACTTCCACCCGAGGACTGGTCCTTGTTTTTTCCAAAAGTCCCGGTCATTCCAAAGCTGCCTGCAGGTAGTCCCCAATTTTGCCAAGGACCGGTCCCCCCCAAACTTTTGCACCCTAAAAACCCACTTTGCATCCTGGTCGCCCGCCGCCGAAATGCGACACCTTGACGCAGACGCCGAAGCCCACTATACCGCAGCATTAAGGCTGCGAATATGCTTCATTGATAAAGGAGAAGTTATTGGTGAGGTTTAGAAATAGGGTGATTGTTGCATGAAAAAAAAAAAGGTATTTGTATGTATGTGTCAAGATTAGTGTGTGTGTGTTTGTGTGATAATTAGGGTGTTTGTGTTTATCACATCTGTTAGTGTTGGAATGCGTTGGATTTAGGTAATTTGTATGGTATTAATGTATTAGATATTTGACATACCTTGATTCCTAGTTGGTGTCGAGGCTGGTGGTCCTTTAATCTTGGTTGATATGTCGTATATATGTGTGCTTAAGTGTTTGTTGTTGTAATTTCTTTTTTTTAATAAAAGTTATTTTGTCACTTATGACTCACTCAATTGGGCACTGAACGTGTGGGACGTTGAATACGTCCACATTCAGACACATCTGTTTGCACTTGCAAATACAATGCAGGTGTGTCGTTTCAACCTCCAGCCAAGGTCGCGCCCTTTCTGATTTAGACTTTTTAACTTTTCCACCCTGCCGCTGTTTTGCCACCGTTTCGACCAAAACCCAGCGCGCGGTCCCACGGGCAGCTACCGGTCCCGCTTTTTTCAAAGAAACTGCCACCACCCCCCGAAGATTCACCCTGCCGCTGCTTTGCCACTGTTTCGACCAAAACCCAGCGCGTGGTCCCACGGGCAGCTACCAGTCTCGCATTTCTCAAAGAAACTGTCCCCCCCCCCAAAAGTGTCGTGCCTGCGCCTGCCTGCATTTTTAGAACCTTCCAACGACCAAACGAGCCCGAATCAACGACCGGTATAGCGAAGGACGACGAAAATGTCTCAGGGGGGGGGGGGAAACGCACTCCTAACGGTCTGCAATCTTTTTCACTTTTTGCGTTTCGACCAAAACCCAGTGTGCGGTCCTACGACCAGCTACCAGTCCCACAATTTTCAAAGAAACTGGCACCACCCCCCAAAGATCCACCTTGCCACTACTTTGTCACCGTTTCAACCATAACCCAACGCGAAACCCACGCGGTCCCACGGGCCGCTGCCGGTCCCTCATTTTCAAAGAAACTGCCACCACCCCCAAAGTGTTGTGCCTGCACCTGCCTGCATTTTTCGAACCTTCCAACGACCAAACGCGCCCTAATCAACGACCGGTATAACGAAGGACGACGAAAATGTATCGGGGGGGAAATGTCTCAGGGGGCAAAACGCACCCTTGACGGGCTGCGAACTGTGAGGGCACGGGTGCGCAGTCCGTAGTCTGTTTGTTGATGTGGTTTGTGATGATCGTTATACTCTACTCCAATATTACGTGTGTGTGTGTGTAATGTGATACCAAACCCCCACGAGTATAGTTATGGCAGGTTGCAAAACTCTGCTCGATGCAATTCGGGCTCAAAGAAGAAAGGGACCATCAACTACTTTTACGGTATTTTACCTTCATAAAAGGCAGGCGACGAAGAAAAAAAGTTCGGGTGAATCCTCGTCATTCTGCGTCCTGCGGAGAGTGGGTGGTACACAGGTTCGTACTACCTATGGTGGCAATCGTCTCTTATTACCCTAGAAACCAGCTCTATCATCCAGGGCCTGAAAAAAATCAAGGGGTTTGACTTTGATGGCTGCCACGGACTACAACGTCCAACTATAAAAATTAACAAACAAAATCATTCAAAAACAAATAATCAATGATCCCGATACCCATATATCGAATCAGAGCTCGAGATAAAAATAAAGAAAAGGAAACATAACCCATCAGGTATGCGGATCATGCGAAACATGGTTGTCATTCTCACTGCCTCCAAAGTAAGACCCGTACACATACTCCAAAACACTAACCTGCATAAAACATAAGCACAAACGAACACCACATTGTCATACACTAATGTGGTCAACTTTACTATTCCCTCTAAAACACATCATGCCTCACATACCCAAGCCCAATCCATTGTCAAATCTTCCGTAAAATCTCATAAATTTTTTATAATGGGTATTAAGAGAAGTTCGGTAAAAACCCTAAAAGAAACATAACAAATCTCAGGGCGACGACTTCAAAATAAGGTACAAGTATAAGCAAAGTTGTGTCGTAAGCCGGCAAGTCGACGATCAACCAACCGAACCTGTTATCAGTGATAACAGAAGATGATCCTCGTGGGATCAAGCTGAATCTTAGTCCAATCCTTGATTGAATCAATTAACGAAGGATTTGTAGTGCAAAACAGGTCAATTCTCAGGCTAAACTTATAAGTATATGGAGAATAAATCCCCATATCACGCATATACTCAAGATTCTTCTTATAACTAAGTCTAAGTCCAACATCTAAGTCAGTGCTCAAGGAAAGGTAGATCATGATAAAATGTCCCCTATACAGATTGGATCACCAGAATTGCTACCAGTGAAAATATAATCTATCTCCTTTTAAACTAAGAAAATTCCGGTAGCGTTTCCCGTAGGAAAAGTGTCTTTTCATAATTTATATCAGCACAAATATGAAAACATAAATAATCTTCAACTTTTCAAAGTCAAATTTTTTTTAACTCTCTAAATTAACAAAAATTTGGGCAACATTCCTTTTAGAAAATGAGACTTTCCAAATTTTTACTAAGCCCTATATAAAAATTAGACAAGTTGAACTTCGAAGAATCAAATTTTGACTAACTCCTTGCATTTGCGAAAATTTCGGCAGCGCTTCCCGTAGAGAAAGTAACTTACTAAAATTTATACCAAGCCAAGTATAACAAAAGATCCCATAAAATGTAGAATTTGACCTAAGTAAAAATAAACTTAGCTCAGAAAATGCAAGAATTGAACTAACTCCTATGGCTCTGACACGTGGCGAGCAACTAAAGCAACTACCTATCAAACTGAAACTCAGACTGAGTAGTGATCTCACTCAGCCATATGCAGGTCAAACCACAAAGGTAAGTACGCTTACCAGTCCCAAAATCAACTTGGGCAAGCAATAGTTCTTAGTCTTTCAATAATTTGTCTCTTTATACCCAACTTACATAAGGCATAAAACTAAACCACCCAAATTTATGGAACATGTCTAGCTCAACCATTGAATATACACAAACACAAAGCACTACAACTTTTTTCTTCCTTGGGCATATGACTAGGCCGCCCTAGTCGCCCTAAACCGTTTAAGTATCCAAGTTATGTATATTTATCTGCACTTAATTTTTTAAGGTAGTATATGACTGAACCGATCATCTTTAGTTCGAGGTTCAACCTACCCCTTCTTACCACAAGTTTATTTTTAATTAATACTCTCTTCAGTTGTGATAAGCTACAGTCCGACCACCCAAACTTATGGGACAATGTCTGACTAGCCTGTTCATAGATAAAATAGTTATAAAATATAGTCAAGTTATAATCTTTTGGTTTCAACTTGTGCGTGGCATTGGACCAAGACCACCCAAACTTATGGAACATGCTTAGACCCCCTCGTTCAAAACCGAAAGAGACTTAGAAACCCAAAATGAACAAGGCAACTAAGTCACCCAAACTTATGGGACAATGCTTGGTCCCCAAAAAGCCAACCACAACAGCTCTCGCAAGTCAGAGCAACCAGACCATCCAAACTTATAGAACATGTCTGGTTCTCCAGGCAATTCAAAAATAGACATAGCACTGGATGGAGACTTGCCCAACCTTTGATTGACCGAGTCAGACATAAGCAATATTGCCTTCCTTTCATCCTTCCCCCATATGCAATCCCTTTTCACAATTTGTTTTCAGTCAATACAACCAAACTGAAACTGAAATTACACAAACATTCCTTTATTAAG